TCCCAGTGTAGGTACGTCTTATGGGATACCTCGTCAAAGCACGAATGATGAGAAAGGGCTGCGTTGGAATGGAATGTACGAGAGCTGACCGTCAGTGTTCTGGAATCACAGAAACGGATAGGAGGGAGATATTTCAGGACTTTTATAAACTGGCTGACCTGCAGAAGGAGAGAGAGTTCGTTCCGAGGCAACCTCGAGGAGAAGTTAAGTTTCATTGGAGTGTATAGTTGTTTGGTTACAGAGAACACTCTCCTTGTGTTTTAAAGAAACTGAACAAGGGGCAAAACCTTTACCTTCGATTTTCTCAAAACAGTGTTTTTCAGAATAGCCCCCTTGTGCTTAAAAGCGATCAAATACTGATATGACCACATCAGTGTCAGGCTTAGACAATGTTGCGGCACATTTTGAATCAACCTGCTTAAACTAGAAACGTGAATTTGTATGTTCATATTACGCATGTCTGCCCTTCAAGTTTCAGATAAAGAAAACAGAATTGGAAAAAAACAAAAACAAACTCAACCCTGTAAGAATAGCAGTTTTTCTCTTTTTTTAAAAAGTGCCTCTAAGCAGTGTGTCTTCAGGCGCTGTCGAATAAGCGGAATGCGCATCCTCAACGAGTCAGTATATTCACAACTCTTTGTTGAGATTTTATCAAATGATCCAGCCTCTCGTAACTCTCACATCGCTAACAGGAGGGGATGGGATTCCGCCTCGGGTGATGTTTTCTCTGACAGAACGCTTTGCGACGAGGGGGATGGTCTGGCGTCTGTGCTTCGCTGTCGCACAAATATGACCCAAGTTCAGTTTCCGAGGGAGGAGTGATTTTTATCGAGTATCTCGGTCTTTCTGCTTTGATGTTGTGTCACTTACAGCCCGATTTGTCTCTGACAGGCAGGATCAGAAGCCCGTCTCCTAAATGGTCTAAATTGTGTTTATGGGGGCGTAAAAACATATTATATTAAACAAGAGGGTGCAGTGTGCGTTATGTACATTAAAAGCAGCCGTCATATCGGAGACGGATGGTCTAAGTAAACCAGCCCAATTAATAATCTGAAATGTCTGTTTGTAACATCTGTGAAGTACGTATTGTCTTCAAATACCGTCCCTCAGTAAAGTGGAATTGACACAACTAACTCTTACATACTCATATGATTGAACAAAACCAAAGCATAAAATTATAATATTATCTAAAACGACACCTCAACATGCATGACAGACACACACTTTAAAAAGATTTTTCATTGTTTCAAAGCAAATTTTTATTCTCTTTTCTTGACACTCACTTCTAATCATAAGTCAAGCAGCGTAAGAAAAGCTTTGAGAACGTTCAAAAATTGGATCATAAAAAGTTTGAGCTGGTCCAAACAATCGGGATAGAGTGACAAGGGGATATGAACACAGCTCAAAACAACAACATTCATTAGATTACAGTAAAACTAACATTTTATGTTTATTAGTGGTCTTTGAAGTTGATACTGTAAAAGAGAGATAAGAGACTCAGAGAGAGAGAGAGAGAGAGAGAGAGAGAGA